GGGCTGATTTTTTTTTACTTGGTGGCTCCCAACCGTCCGGTTCAACTTAGCCTTGAATTGAAGCTTTGAATGTTTAGTGGGGATCGATCCATTTCACCCAAAAGTGAAGCTTTTAGTGGGGAGCTAAGCTCTTCAGGCTTGGATTTGTGACATATCCCACTCAAAGCTTAACCTTTTAGTAAGGGATCTACGACCCATGGGCAAATCAATGAATTTGCAACAGCTCAACAAGTCAAAATTTGAAGCATTGCCTGCAATCGGCTTAGACTGCTGGAAGCTGAAGTAGCATCTCTCAAGCACAGCAGTAACTGATGGCTCAATAAATATGCTTTGCCGGACTTTGTTCGGAGAGATCCCTGAATGACTGGCGCTTGTTCTGCAGGTTTGTTGCCCGAGCCAACATGAAACCTACCGGGGGGGGAGGGGGGGGGGTGTGCTGGCGTGTGCTGGAAGACGATACGCTTCTATACTCGAGCCTTTGTTTGGATTCAAGCTAGATCATAAAAGTGAACCGGAGGGTACGTCAACTCTAGCTGCTGTTGAAAGGGTCGCAACTGACAATGCAGCCACAACCCCAAGCTCACCTTGGAGATAACTCGCCATGCTGGGCACGTGTGAAACCTAAATATAAAGCCAGTCAACAACAAGTGGGGGCCAGGAGAAGAGCCGGAGAACGGGTCGCACGCCAAAACCCGAACATACGGAAGTCGGCTCTGGTGGGGATCTTCTCCTTCTGACCAACCAATCCGAACCACAAGAAAAACACATACCCAGTGGATCCATTGACCTGCACAGTAGGAAGCCAAGGGAACCACATAGGACGATAGCTGGTTACCTACTTCTAAGGGTAACTGGGATCCACTGGGATATTCAAGCCACCGAGGTTCCATGCTCTTGCGCTCACCTTTACCGCAAATGCTCGCGAAAGTTTCGGCTGAGCCACCGGCGCGGGGGGTGGTGGGGTTGGTGGGGGACTAGTTTTCAGTACCGAAGTTGGCCCATCGGCTGCTTACCCGGTTTCGGGGGGTTTGCGATGAGAATTGAGGTTTCACCACCCAGACCCTCCTGGCTTTGGCTTCCAATGGAAGACCCAGACCCTGCATTGGACACCCCAGAAAAGTTTTGGGGTCTCAAAACCTGGCCGTTTGAAGGTCCAACATCAATCAGTCAGGTACCACCGGTACCGCCCACGCCGTGGAGGTCACAACAAGTCTGGCCAAATCCTCCCCGTGGATCCCAGTAGATCCCAGGCCACGTTGAGTCTGCCATCAAAGACACCCACAAGTGATTCAAGGGAACCACCCCCCCGTTGCTCCCAGGCCCCGTGTATGCTGCCACTATGAAAGGCACAGTTGCTGCCTTTCCCAGATCCCGGGCGTTGCGTAGGTACCACTTCGCCCTTTGGCCCTTTTTTGGTTCTTAAAGAGTGCCAAGCCCTTGGTTGCTATACAGGCAAATGGATCCACAGGGACTTCAACAACATAAGATGAACACATCTTGCCAAACTGTAGTGATCGGATCTTGCACATGTGTCTGTTCTATCTGTCCTGTCTGTTTGTGCCGTCCTGCCTGTATCTGGCTGTTCAAAGTTTGAGCTGTGTCTGACAGCAGACAGAACCGGACAGACAGGACAGCAGACAGCACAGATAGGACATGTCGATCAGAAGAAAAAAAACAAAAACCGCATAGACGGGCGCAAAATGCGACCAGCGGCCTCTCCGGGCCGTGCCCCGATGGTGCACTGGACTCGCCCGGGAGTCCTGGGTCGTGGGAGCGAATTTAAGGGAAGCCTCCCGGCGGTTGGTGCTGTTGCTGGAAGCAAACCTTCCCTAGAATTAGCTCCCCCCTTGTTTTTGTTTGGCTTTTTTGGGGTCCCTTTGTTTTCCACTCACCGGGCACAATGATATATTTTTTTGCCGGGGTCCTAATTCCAGCCTAGAATGGTTCGAAGTGCGTGTTCGCATCCACACTTCGGATAGGAGCACAGCTTCGGGAATGTCTTCATCCAGAGCCAAGGCGTCACAGGCGCGTCAGTTGTTCTCAGCCCTAATCGTCACTTTGGTCTCGGCCGTGCCTTGTTTTGAGGGTACCCTGTTTTCGGGGCTTCGAAGAGGAAACCCTCAAAGGGACCCATATGCATGATTTGGAGATGCCCATATTTTAAGACCCACCCATTTATGGACGGATTTCACTGGTTTGAGTTTGGTGCTATCCATTTGCCAGCGCCATGCATTGTTTGAACAGGACTCTCAGGGTTGCCATGTTCCCACTTGGGTCCAAGCAAGCTATCACTTTTGGAGGTGCTAGACTAGGCCAGATCCCAAAAAAGTGCTTCACATCAGCACAATTGCCCACATAGGATCAAGAGGAGCAGCAGCAGTGGCGAGTTGTAGCATTCTGGCGAGGTCTCGACTGGAGCGCGGGCATGTGGCACGGTACGCGCCTCCTTGTGGCCTAGTCAATCCACCCCGATGACATCCATGAATTGGAAGGCTGGGTGCCTGACGATTGGATGGATTGGCATCACAACAATAAGGCTGGGAAGAGACGAAGCAGACGACGGGCCAACCGGCACGTTTTGCTGCCAGGACGACTCAGTCGACTCTCACAACGTGTGCGATGAGTGCAAAAAGCGTTGCGAGCCAGAACGCTCACTGTCCGTCTGAGTGCCCGGATAGATCTCAGGGGTAGCCTGGCCCATGGTGATTCAGAAGGGACACCCTGTCTGGTTCTCCTCGTGAATGTTTGTACATGTCGCGGGCCCCACAAGTCCGGATGACCTCAAACTGGTCCGACGGTCCGGGGGCTTCCTGAGCCAAGGGGTTTATTCCCACTTCTGTGATACAAGGGAGCCTCCCCCTTTATATGGGGTGTTAGTCTTTGGGAAGCCCTTTTTGTTGTATCACAGAAGTGGTCATTTCCCACAAGCCTGCTGTCCTTCGTTTCCCATGGCCTGGGTCCATCTCGGGATCTGCCAGGCCGGAAGTGGACGGATGTGGGCTCTCTGAAGCCGGGCATGAAGGATCCGCAAGAACTTGCGATCGCTGCGAGCAGGGGAGGGGAACTGGAAAAACCCCTATAAATCAAGGTTTCCTGGTGGTTTTTCTTGAATATGGTCTATATACGTCCTCCAACTGATGGCTTCGTTTGAGGGAATCTCAAGGTTCATTTTCGCATTCCTTGCCTAGAAATGTCCGACTGACCCTTTGTCCAAGTTCGAAAGGGGTGGTTTCTCTCTGGTGCCCCTGTAAATTGGTAAGCCCCATATCGGGTGGGAGGGAATTCCTTTTCGAAGCCCCCATGAGCGAGCACGGCAGAAGTCAAAGTCAGGATTGATTTGACAAAGTGCAGGGAGTCCAGGAGTCGGTCGTTAAGATGAATAAACCCAAAGCAGTGGATCTCTCCAGAGTATTAGCTGCAGCCCTCCAAATCACCAGTTTGCGTGCTTGGCCCTTCGTTTCCGCAAGGGTCCCTTTTGCAGTGGCTTCCCTAGAGGAATCGGGATTTCGCCAACCCTCCATTGTGAAGAGCCCATCTTGGAGTGCGCGCAATTTGTCCGAGCTTTCGATCGGGCAGGACCAGGAGGTCTGGATCCGCGCGCGGGCCTGGGGCCCCGGAAAGCGGAGAAGTCCATTTGGCGCCGGCCAGCTGAACCACCCGTGTTCTTTTGAGGGTGCTTCCTTCTGTGGCGGTTACTTTTGAAGCGATGACACTCGCACAGCGCATGGGAAAAAGTGACCCATGGTCAGAACTGGGGCCCTAAAGGGAATAATGTTGACCCCATACTCATCAACCAACCAGTTCATTTTTAGGTTTGGGGGGGTCTCCTCCAAAAGCGGTCTGATTCCAACCGCTAAACCTAGATAGAATGGACACCCCCTATTGATAAACTGGTTGATGAATATGGGGTCAACATGAAGAGAAACCAAAAGGAACACCGCGATTTTGGGGGGTCCCCTAAAAAAGACGCACCCAAATAGGGGCTAAGGAGACCTCAGTGACAACTAGCAGGTTAGCACCCAGGTTCATGGGGCGAATGCTCGGAGCGATTGCTCACAAAACCAGTTCAGACTTGAGTTTTCTTCTCCACGTTTGATTTCCGCGCGATAGGGGTTGCCGTGCACCATGCCAGACATGGACCAGTTCAGGCATTTGTACCCTTTTCCACAGTGCTTCTTTGTGGTTTTTGCTTCTTGTAAGAGGGCTCCCCAAATCCCGGCCTCGGGTGACCCCAACAAAACACGAAGGACGCATCAGCAGGTTGCACGTGTTCAGATGGGGGTTGTGTTTATTTAGTTTCTGGGTGGCTTCCAGCCATCCCCTTTAGCTTTTTAGCCTTGTACTGTTTAATGGGGGTTTCCATGCAACCCACAAAAAATATTTTTTTAGCCGGGGATCTGAGGGCAGCCCGGGCTTTAAAGGAAAATTGTTGGATTTCCAAATGGCTTATCCGGGGTGGCTACTGATCAGATACAATGTAAACCATGCTGAAAAACAAGTAACATGGGAAGTGGTACTGCCCGATCCGAATATGAAAATACGATGGGTTCCCACAAGGTCGAGCAGCATCCCATCTCAAAACCGGGCTGCAACCTCCAAACCATGGGCCATGACTGGTGGAATCAGATGGCGTCCATCCTTTTTGCCGCGTTGCAGCGAAGCATACCCCGTGCTAAGCAGGCCACAGGGCCAACAAAATAAGATTCCGACCCGAGCAAGGGCCAACCCTTTGAAAGCAAGTGTGCCGCACTGCACCCTCGTGGTTTTGGTCCCTGGTTGTCCCTGGCTGGCCCTTGCGCAGGATAAATACAGCTCAACAACTCCCCTTTGGCTCACCACTCAAGGTAAAGTATCCCGCAAAGATTGGCGCTTCTTCCCCCTTGCCAAGCGAAGACTCACCTGTCGACGCGCAAGTAGCGGATCCTCCCGCAAGTTTTGCGGAGCCTCCCGCAGCTGGGGCCTCCCGCAACACCCAGCCAGCTTCTGGCGCAGGGCAACCCCTACCGCTCCTTCTTGTCTTTCTTGTCTTTCTTATCTTTTTTGGTGTCCTTGGCACCTTTGTCACCCTTCTTGTCATCCTTGGTCTTTTGAGCTTCTTGCTCCTGCTGCTTCTTCTTGTTTGCTTCGGCTGAGGCCTTTTTCTTTGCTGCTTCCTCTGCCGCCGACTTCTTTGCTGCTTCCTTCTTTGCCTGTTCGGCTTCAGCCTTCTTCTTTCTCTCCTGTTCCGCTGCCAACTTCTCAGCTTCTTCTTTCTGGGCCTCAGCCTCCAAGGCACTCTTCTTCCTTGCGCGTTCCTCTGCTGCCGACTTCTCTGCTGCTTCCTTCTTTGCCTGTTCGGCTTCAGCCTTCTTCAGTCTTTCCTGTTCCGCTGCCAACTTCTCAGCTGCTTGTTTCTGGGCCTCAGCCTCCAAGAAACTCTTCTTCCTTGCTTCTTCCTCTTCCGCCGACTTCTTTGCTGCTGCCTTCTTTGCGTCTTCAGCTTCAGCCTTCTTTTTTCTTTCCTCTTCCGCCGCCAACTTCTCAGCTGCTTGCTTCTGGGCCTCAGCCTCTGCGATGGAACTCTTCCTTGCTGCTTCTTCTTCTGCTGTCAACTTCTCGTCGGCATCCTTTTTGGCTCCTCCTGCTTCTTCTGCCAGCCTCTCAGCTGCTTTATTTGCGCTGGCGTCTTCAGCAGCGGCCTTCTTCGCAACGTCCTCTTTCTTGTCCTTCCAGGGTGATCAGTTTCTCACATGAAAGTTGATTTTTCCAAACTCAACACAACATCAAACAATCATAGCACGAGAAAGCAAACTGCAACAGAAGCCAACTGCCAAGTGATGAATAGCGTGTTGCTAAAACTTTGTTACCAGGACCAGAACTGGTGTGCCAAGACAAATTGAAGTATCGCGCGCCTGCTGGTCGTTTTCTGTCTTCTCTGCTTCGCTGCCATTTGTAATGGGCGGTTGCAAAGGGGATTCCTGGGCTCCGGCTGCCGCTCTGGCAAGCTGCTTCAAGAACTGCAACGTGGTACTCAAAGGCCCTCTTGCTTGTTGGCCGGGATTTGCGTCCAGCAAGGCCTGAAAGCCGTCAGCCATTCCAGCGTGGAGAACACCCAGCCTAACGCCCAGGACATCCACGCTGTGCGCCAGGTGAGTCACAAGGCATCCCGGTGGGATGTACAAGCAATCCCCTGGGCCAATGGTGCCAAACGACACCGAGCCAGACGTGCAGGCATTAGCCACCTCTTGCTGCGTGGCCTTGGCCACAAGTTCCACTTGCTGCGGCAAATCCTTTGGTTGCTTCATAGCCCAAAGCGCAACCTGCATTGAGCCCTTGTGGACCACACGAAGGCATGGGAACAGGTCAAGTTCGAATCTTGCAATGGAACTTGAAGAGCTGGCAATTCCAAAGGTGGTTTCTTTCATCAATTCTTTCACCCGTCTGGGGGCCTGCGCTGCTTGCAAGGATTCCACGCCACACTTTCCCAGCAGCCACCCATCACGCAGCGCAGCATTGCCCTGCAACATTTGGTGCACTTGACTTGTCAGCTCCTCTGACATTGGGCAATGCGCTCTGCCTTCTGTAACTCGAAGGCTTGACGACGCGAACACTGTTCCAAATTCACCAAGTCGCGCGCCCACGGCTTCTGGCAATTTGGCATTGCTGATAATCCAGGGCTTGTCAAGGCCCCAGCCACTTTGCCACTGAAAGGAAGATGGGATGCGGTTGCCTTCGTCATCCCACACCTTGGCCGAAGTGTCAAGCAACGCGTGCCCTGCGTTTGCTGACTTCCTGCGAGCTGCGTTTACTGGCGGATCAAGAAGCCTCGCATCAAGGGTCTGTGCTTTGGCCTTTGCCTTCTTCTCCTTCTCCTCTTCCTTTTTCTTCTGCGTCTCAACCCGCTTCTTGGCGTTTTGCAAGTCAGACAGCGCAATCTTGACAGCGGACGAAAGCACACCTGTCTGCTTTTTCCCTGCGTGCCCAAGCTCCTGGACTGCCTTAATCTCTTCCGCAGATTTGCACGATCGAAACTTGAGGCCAAAGGCCTTGAGAGTGTAGAAGGACTTCAGCGCCTGGTAGCCGTGGCATGGCCCGGCGCGAGCCAAAGCTTCCACGTCGTCGCTTGTTGTTCCTGCTTTCTTGTCTGACTCGCCATCCTCTTTTAATTGTTCTTTGTCAGCCTCCTCGATGAGCTTCTCCACCGCCTGGTCACCCTCTTGGATTGCCTGCAGCCAAGACACCCGCTTTCCCAAGATGGACATCTCTGTGGAAAAGCGGCTTGCATCAGGCAAAGCTCGGAAGCTCTCTAGCACACCAATGGCTTCTTTGGACTGCAGTTCCGCAGCTTTCTCAAGGCCTTCTATGCCAGTCACCCAATCGCGCTCTGCCTTTCGGCACTTTGTCTCTGCGTCAAACCACTTCACTTTGTCTTGGCCACCGGGTGCACCTGCACCGCTGCCGCTACCGGCAGCAGCGCTACCATCTTCTTTTGCCGGGGTGTCGTCTTCGCTGTTTGAACTTTCCAGTCCTGAGCCGCAATCAGAAGGCTAGATTAACCCACCGAGTCACAGTTCCCATCATCCGTGACAACCCCCTGATGTTTCAAAGAGAAGAACACACAAACTCACAACCAACATCCAAGCACAGCTCACCAGACATGCTTCCAAGATTCCGGATTCGCCGGTGGACTTCTTGCGTCTTTTCCTCTTCCTTTCCAAGGTGTCAGTCAGGTCCGCCAAGTGGGGGGCTGCCATGTCCTCCAAGTCAACGCCAGTTGCCTGGGCTTTCTCACGAAGGTCTTGCAAAGAACCGCTGCCAAACTTTGCATGGTTTTCGGAAAGTAGGAGTTTCAGGCGATCATCGATCGTGCTGTCTTTTGCATTCTTGTTGAGGCGCTCGACCTTATCAAGCCTCTTGCCTGTCGCAAATTCTTCATACTCCACCAGATTTGTCCTCGTGGGCACCGCCAAGCGGAGGAATCCCCTCGGCCCATCGTGGTCCGACTTCACTGCAGGGTCCGACTTCCATGTCTTCCATTTTGATGTCGCCTCTTCCGGCGTGAGGTATCCATGAGCCGCCGTTTTTGCGGCTTCCATCCATTCTCCTTCCCACATCATGCTTTTGATCACCTCCTTCCGGTCTCCACACCGAGCAATTACCTCGTCCTTGTACTCGATGATGTTGAACCGAATTTTGTTCTGAGTATTCTCCATGCGGGATCGCTCCTTCATGAAAGCTTTCTGCACCTCACTGAACAATTTGCTGTCATCTTGCTCCATCTTGCTCAGGTCTTCCTTGCAATTCTGCTTTTGGGCAAGCCGCCAGAATTGCCGCACGCCAAGGACACAAGGCTTGCACCTGCCTTGCGAGCTATTGTATTGGTCCGGGCTTTTCCATAGCCCGCAGTGCCCGGAACACTTCTTCCAGGTCTTTGCCTGTTCTGGGTCTTGCGGTTTTGTCTTGGACTCTTTCACTTCCAAGACCGCGGGGCCACCCGCATTCTCGCCGGAATGTCCTTCCTGCTTCAAGCGCTTGGCAGGGGGCGACGCGATGCCACTCTCACTGCCTCTCCCCAGTTCTGCATTGTCTGACAATGCCCCCTGGGCAGAGCCAAGCGCGAGATCTTGACCGCCGTCGCCTTCTGGCAGAAGTTCTAAGCCTAGCATGCCTAAGTCACAAGGCTGCCTGTTGAGCTCGGCCAAAACGCTACCAGCAAACATGTTCAGTCAATGCCGTACCATGCCTGTCAAATGACTCATGCGCGCACCGCAACGCTAACAACAAACACACAACCAAGACAAAGTGGAGTTGCAAGCACCTTTGCCAACGCAAAGGGACAATCGCACAATTTTTGACCGTCACCATCTGCGGCCCTGCAATCGCAGGAAGTCAGGGTCTAGTCGGTGCCGCTGTCTGTCTTCATACCCTACCCACTGAAAGAACTTGTGGCATGTACAGTCGCAGACATGGCTCGCATTCACGCAGTCAGTTCCGTGGCACCTGAGACAGCAGGCGTCTCTCTCGTGGAGGATGACCAGTTGACCACTTCTCAAGTGGCTCTGACTGTGACTCGTCACTTGCAGGGCACTGGCAGCTGGCTGTTCTTCCTCTGTGTCCTGCCACTGCAAAGAATTGCTTTCAGCTTGCTTTGCCCTCGCCCCGTTTGCTGGTGCTGCTGACTGATATGGCGGAGCGCCCCGCATCGTCGCTTGCGGAGTAACCCGCTGGGGCGGAGTAACCCGCTGGCCTTGCGGAGCATCCCGCCTCATGACTGGCTGTGTGTGCGGGGCAACCCGCCTCAAAGCAGGCTTTCTTGTTGTCATCATCGGTGCTGCATCACTGGTGTGACTGGCTGCTGCGCTTGCCGTGTCAAGCTCCCGGCCCGAAATCACTTCGATGGGGCTTCGGCTGCGCTCCGGTCTCCAGTGTCGGGGCGGTTCAATCTCGAGCTGCGAGTCCTCATCCGGATCCAAGAAGGTGTCACCCACTTGGAGGTATCGCTGAGATCCGCCATGCCTCCCATCCATTGCGCAGTCTAAGAAAGCACTACGGCCACAGGGTGAGCGTTCATCCAGACCTGAAAAACGGCTACAAACAAGCATGCAAGCACCGAGCAGCAACATACCAAAAAAAGGAAGCGGGCCATGAGCACGTTTAGGGCATTTAAACATCCATGCATGGACGAGCAGCAATTCATCGCATTAGTGCCTCACAGGCGCAGGCTCTTTGTCGCACAGCGGCTGGCCACTGATCAAAACTTGCCATCTCTTAATGGCAGCACAATGCCTGAACTTGAATCCGCTTAGGCCAGCGTTCAAGTCTTCTCAGTTCCCGCAATGGTAAATGCCAACACCGTGCCTATGACTCTCATATGCATGGCATTGCCTGACATGGATCGAATTTTGTTGTCACTCATGCTTTTCAACTCATTCACCACAGCCTGGCTGCATCTGTATCGCTCCGCCGCCTCAGTCCAGGCAGGTTCGTTGCTCTTGGAGGCGGGGCTACCCGCAGGAACTGCGCCGCCATATAGATTCATCCCCTGTATTTCCAAGTGCTCCTGCGGCAAAGCAAGCCTTTTCAAGCCAAACAGTCATAAGTTGCTTTTGCGGAGAAGCGCTGGAACATGGAACCGGGTGGCTCCCATATAGCTGGGCTTTTGGGCCACGTTGGCAATGAACTGACGAACTTGCATGCCATCATCCATTTGCTTGGCTAGGGCCTTGGTGTGGGCGTCAACCGAAGAACGAACACTTGCGGACATTGCTTGATAGCAACTCCATGGTTTGCCAGATCGGGACGTTGGTGGCAAGTGATTGCGCCTGGCCATGCCGGCCACGTGCTGTTGAACTTCTTCGTGAGGAGCGCGGAACATGTCTGTGCCACACATCATAACTTCACGCTGAAACATGCTCTGGAAGGCTGCTGCCACACCTTTGCTCTCAATTTCTTCCCGCCATTTCAGCTTGTCTTTGTCCAGGAAAATCATATAGAGCCTTTTGCGCTCAATGGGTTGCCCAAACAGGACCGGGCTGAGGATCATCGCGTACACGTGGAACTTATCTTCCACCAAGAGCCGTAAGGAGTCCAAGTCAAAGTGCTGAGTGCACTCAGCAATGCAAAAATGCTCTGATGCCTGTAGCCGTTCTGCGAGCCACTGGCAGAATGCCAAGGTGGAATTGCCAAGCCACCCCAACTTCTCACTCATCGAGCTCCAATCATAGCAGTTGAAACCTGCCACGTGGCCAATCAGGCCACCGGCAGTGGCGGGCTTGGCAACAACACGGCAAAGAGCCTCATGCTTGTAGCACCAAGCAGACACCTCGCGCAAATCCTGGTCCATCATGGCATCCATCGAGGCGCCCAAGAATCTTTGGGCGTCGGCTGCGGTGTCTCCCGCACTTGCCTTCTCGCATTTTTTTGTCAGCCTTTGACGGGCTGTCTCCAACTGATCCCAGACCTCCCGGTTGCATCGCTCCAGGATGTCTCCGTGAATGCAGCGAGGGGCAAACACTCCATCATGCCGGCTGAGGACGCGTCGGCAATCCAGTTCCTTGTCCCCTCCTCGCTGTGTGTAGCAGCAGGTCTTGTCGATCTCAAAGCCGTGGATGTGAGCCGCAGCTTTGCATAGCTTCTCAAGGCACGCCTCTGCGCTGCCCAAGCCGGAATAATCCGTGCTGATAACAAGGCCTTTTTCCAAAGCCTCCAAAAATTGTCCAATCAGCCCTGCTCTCTCCAATGCCTGCAAGCACTCCTCCGGCCAAGCCTGTGATTGGCATGGCGAGAGGGCGCCGGGTCTTGGCAAAGTGTCACTTTCAGACAATCTCACTTGCTTTGGCGACGGCTCAGCATCGCAGCTCAAGTCTGCGCTGGGCCGCTTCGTCAGCCCTTCAGCGGCCATCAGGAGGCCGGCAACCGCTTCAATCCAATAAAAAATGTTGATCACATCTCACCTGAAACCTGCAATCCTTAAATGTGAGACGGTTCTGCTGAATTGCTGGCATTTCATGATGAATTGGCCTGAGCTGAGCCTGCCTGCATCGCGCGCGCAAAATCCCTGTTCAAACAGCTGGCTCATCATTCCAAATCAGCAAATCCGACCTTGGCAACGCTCAAAGAGCCTTCAGCCTCCTCCAGCCACCTCCGACCACCTCCGACCACCTCCGACCACCGCCCGACCACCACCCGACCACCGCCCGACCACCTCCGACCACTTTCCGACCAACTCCCGACCACCCTCCGACCACCTCCGACCACCTTCCGACCACCTTCCGACCACCTCCGACCACCTCCGACCACCTTCCGACCACCTTCCGACCACCTCCGACCACCTCCGACCACGTTCCGACCACCGCCCGACCACCTCCGACCACCTCCCGACCACTGCCCGACCACCTCCGACTGCCGCCCGACCACCTCTCCAACCACACTCCAACCACCCATTTTCGGCTTGGAGGGTCCCAAGTCCCTTTGGAGGCCAGAGGGGGCCATGCAGCCACCAGTCAGCCTCACAGAGGATGAAAAATGCAAATCAGAAAGTTTGGGGCCGCGCTTAAGGAACTGCAGGGTTGATGACGCGTTTTGAAAAAACAACAACCGAAAAACTTGTAAAGTGGACGGTGTTGAAAGAGTCCTGCAATTTTGTGGTCTCTCAGCCTCTCCTCACAAACCCTTCAACTTCAATCAGCTGCAACTTTTCCACATTCGCTCAGTCTGGCAGGTTGGCACACTCATCGCGTCTAATCGTGCTCAGACTCATGCCTCTCAGGGCTGCCGCGAGTTTTCTGCTTCTTCTTCTTCTTCTTGGGCGGCGTCTCAGGGTCGGCATCGCGGACATCACGGGGTCTGTCACCATGCTGTGGGCCCGCCTTCTCTTTCTTATCTTTCTTCGCCTTCTTCTCCTTCTTCTCCTTCTTGGCTTTCTTCTTATCTTTGCTGTCATCCTTGTTGCGGGTCTGCTTTGGCGGCGGCGGCGGCGGAGCCACCCGCGCAGGTACACGCTGGGGCTGAGCATCATGCCTATGCCCGCCATCAGCATTATCATCGCTGCCATCGCTGCCGCCGCCACCCTGAGGGGCATTCATTCCTCCTCCGGCAGTGGCAGTGGCGTTCGCGTTCGCGTTGATGCTCATGTGTACAGCTACCCGCGCAGCAGTGGCCGCTTCCGGCGTCTCGGCCTCTGCCTCGGCTCTTTCAAGCCTTCGTTGCTGCCCTCGCTCAACGCGCCTGGCTCTGGCTTCATCGCTTCTGCGTTCAAAGCGGGTGCTCTCTTCTCTCTCTTCTGTCCGAACCCACACCCACCGCCCTCGCTGCCAGCCACGCCCACGCCTGTTGTTGCCGGCCCAGTCCCAGTCTGAGCTGTTCCAGCTGGAGCCGCCCCGCCACTCATGGCCTCCGCCGCTGCCGTGCCCATTCCACCAGTCTGCGCCTTTGCGCTGGTTCCACCATGGCATGTTCCAAGCGGCTCCTTGGGCAAGGAAACGCCAGGCCTACCGCTCCAGGCGCCTAGGCCCTAGCCTAAGTCCTAAGCTGCAAAAAGGCTAAGCACACATGCCGGAAGCAAACTCTGCAAGTCACTCATAATCCTGGGCAGGACTCAACCTGACAATGGCCCTGCGTGCTTTTCTAGCTGGTTCGGCAGAAGGCTACTTTGTGAAACATGTTTGGCAAGCTGTCGGAAAACTTTGAAAACTCTGTACTCAATGCCTGTGGCGCGGGGCCACCCGTCGCTTTGCTTTCATTTCCTGGCACCTGGTGTCTCCAAGCCTTGCGCGGGGTCACCCGCCAATGAGCTCTTTTCATCGAATGGTGCCCGACATCCCTGAGCACAGCGGAGTCGCCCGCGCTCGCCAAGTTACTTTTCATTCTCTGGGCTCGCTCGGCCGCTTGGCGTCTCCAAGCCCAGCGCGGGGTCACCCGCCAATGAAGAGCTATTGGCAGCCCTGCACTGCAGAGCCTGCAATCCCGGCCACGCGGAGCAACCCGCAAGCCTTGTCACCTGCGGAGGCGCCCGCAAGGCACGCCAACATGCGAAGCGTGTAAGGCTACTGCCCGATCAATCGCTTGAAGATGAGGTTGAAGAAGAGGTTGAAGTTGAAGAGGACAAACTTGAGACGCTAGAGTTTGCAGAAGGGCTAAAAGGCTGAGCCGACCCGGCTCGAGAGTCCACACTGTCAGGGCGACTCTTTCTTTTCCCTCTGCCCTTCGCCTTCGGCTTCGCAGGCGCAGGCTTTGCTTTCTTGGTTGGCCTTCCCTTAGCCGCAGCCTTGCTTTTTCGCTTGGGCCTCGCTTTGCCCTCCTTTGCTTCTGCTTCTGGTTCTGCTTCTTCTAGGGCATCCAGCTCATCATCCGCAAGAAGAATGTCTGGCGGTTGCGGCAGGCTTGCCAATCTAAACTCAAGGATTTCTGCGGGCAACGCCTCGTGATTCTTCAATGGAATCGCGCAATGGCTTGACTTTCGCTCGTGCG